CTATATGTACATTGTATATATGCTATATGTATGCACTATATATACAGTTTATATATATTGGCAACTCATCTAAACAACAGAGGTTATTTTATTTTATTTTTAGTTCATTGAAAGTTCATATTGTTAAGGAAAAAAGACATTTTTCTTTCTGTTTTGTTTTCTTTCCATTCTAATTAAAAATATATTAATGTTAATATTAACAAAACATATTTATTATTATTATTATCATTATTTTTAATATAGACATTCCATAGTATTTTACAAAATATTCAATATCTTATTTGTATTAAGTTGCTCTTCACGGAAACAAAACAGAACACATTCTATGTATCATAAAATTAGTCCATTAATGAAGGAAGAATCAATAATTTTCATGATATTTAAAAGAACATTATTTATTTAAACAATTTATTGGCACATTTTAATAAGTAGTAATGAATGCTATTTAAGTAGATAGATTGACTTGATCCATTTTAACTAAAATAAATCATAATAAAATATGAACACTAGTAATATTTAACATATTAAGATGTTTTAAAGTATTGATAGAATATACTATAATATGTAAAGTAGTAATTTTCAGAGTTTATATAACATATTCATTTGTATAAATTTTATATTGAAATTAGAATTAAATGTATAACATATATCAACATTCATATAAAATTACGAAAGATCAAACTACAGAAACATAACAACAGGTAGGATTTATAAAAGTTGATCTATTTAAGCTGAAAGAATTCATGATATGAAAAAGGTAGAAAATAAATGTTTCCTTCATCATTCTTTTATTTTCGGTTCTTTACAACTTCATTTTTATACATACTGAGCTTAATCATGGATAAATTTGTGACTATTTTTGTTCTTGAAATTAGCGAACTAAAATAACCAAGAAATTTATTTTCAGTCTTCAAGGGGATGCTAGTGATTTCGTTGAAAATATCAACGATCTGCATATTATGCATTGAAGTAGATTAATAAAGTGTATTCAATATTTCTAAATACTTGAAAAAGAGCAACAATATAATCTTTTACTAGGTTACAGTAAAAAAACTAAATTGCTCTTACCTTCTCATAAAGAGTTCATCAGCTTTGCTCTTATGGTACTTGTAAAAGAATCGTTAGTGAGTAGAAACATGTACACACAAAAATCAAACGTTTACAAATGTTTACGGTTAAGTGTTCAATTACTTTTAATAATTATGTTATTTTCTGACCTCAGATGAGTATACTTTTGATCAATTGCTAAATGAATGAAATGGGTAACAAAAATGATAATGATACATTTTGTGTATTTGAAATAATATGACGAAATAGTACTAATTCCAATAAGTCTAGAATTTCAACAAGACACAATCAAGAAGTCAAATTCGATGTACGCGTACCAAATTGTATGATGTATTTACGATAGGTTCAAGCACAAAAGAAACATTTAGCTTCACAATAAATATATTGGTGATTTACCACACCTTCCTTTACACAAATTGAGTTATAAGAACTTTTTTAATGAAACATATTCATAACATAGCCATTATTATTATTAGTGACTTTATTCAATAGTATATGTTTGGTAAAATATAGGATTCACAGCACAAGGTATTTTAATAAGTTATTTTACCGAGAACGAACGAAAAAGATGAAAGAAACCGGTAGCTGTATACATACATAAGTTAAATAGATAAACTACCTGTAAATCAATGAATTGTTTTTCAAGAAGATTTGAACCTGTACAACATTTTCAATTAGAAACATGTTTAGGAATACAAGGTATTGACTAAGTCAACTCTAACGACCTGTCCGTCACATAATATATTTGCTAGACATGATATTGTAGAGCTTGTATATTTTTGCTTGCGTGAATATATTCCAATGTATTGACGTCTCGTTCTACCAGACGATTCACAAGGAGACAGATATGAATGAAGTGGATGGTTGATATCTGATAAGATAACACCTCTCAGGACTTTACGAGACTTAAAATGTCTATCCACAACAATAATAATAATGACCTCAAAAGATTCACCACATACCCTGCTAATGGTGTTCAGCACTCCCGGCAATACGGCAAACTTTTCTGCAAATCCGAGGAAAGAAAAATGGAGAACAGTGAAGAAAATTAGGTAGTATGCAAGAATCGACAAATTGTAAGAGTAAATGTCAAGTAATCCTAAAAGCATGGAGCCTCATTATGTAGTATGTCAAACGGAAAACTTTCTGTAATAATAATAAAATATTTATGATGAAACACGACAAACGTTCTTAGAAATTCTCAAAGAACCTAACAAATCAATTAGTTAATTTCAAATGACTGAATTATATGATGCATAAACTTGGTTTATAATTGATACTATGACTGAAAAACAGTAATCTAGCACCAGTATGACACTTTTAAAAATTCTGTTGAAATCTTGCTCAATTATTAAATATGAATGTTTACTTTCTATTTAATAAAACATTATACACAAAGATAGAGAAATATAGCAGAGCTTAATTCTTATGATGTTAGAGTACCTTAACATGAAAACAAGTAAAAACACATCAGTGTTAGAGAGGGTTTAAAGCTATATAACACATGTTGCCACTCAATATATAGACAAGATATTAGTTCTGTGCAACACAAAAAATAATTCATTAGTCACAGATTAGTGACCTAAAATTGTATTTGCCTAGTTTTTTTAATGTTGACCGATTTCTGTTGATCAAATTACAAAATGTTCACTAGTTTAAATAACTCGATATAGTAAACACTATGCTGAGATGCTAAGTGATGGTACTTTCGTGCTCAAAAGGTAAATACAGACAATTTTTTAGTTACTAAGTAACTGCACTTTCATGAATTTTTAATTGTGTGATACTTTATTGTATTTCCCTAGTTAATTCATTCATACGATTTGGTTTTCACTTAACACTTCTCAGCTTGATGAATTAGCCTATTATGCTAGGAATGTTACAATACTTTGATTGTACTTAATGATCAATAACAAGCAAAATACTTGCTAAACCTTTACAACTACGCTCACAATAACATCCGATTGCCATGGAACGTGAAAAGGATGACAAGTTCCATTTTTTCGATATTGCCATACAACGGAGGGAGGACGGTATAGCTCAGCGTTCAGTTTATCGAAAAGATGATGTTTATTTGAGTTTTAACACCTTATATACGGTCAGTTACAAAACTGCATTGATCAAAACACTATTTCACAGAATGGAAAGGATATGTACTACTGATACACTAGAACGCAGAATTAAAGAATGTGAAAGAATGCCCAAAGGATCATAGATGTCCAAAGGAATTTACAGAGAAATATGGGAAAAGTAGGGACAAAAAGCCTTAAGAAGCCATAGTAGACAAGAAACCTGTTTTCTTTCAACTTAAAGATGATGATATCGCAGCAACAATAAACAGAATATTAAAAAGCACGCTGATAAGGACTTATCCCTCAGTCAAGCTGACTGTCTTGTATAAAACAATATATTCTTGACTTCAATCGCAGATGTATTGATACCCCTTACATGTTACCGTCAGTTGTGTATATGAATTAACGTGTACCTGCCAGATGAGTCACACTTGTAGAACAGTAAGAAGGGCATATGCCGAAAAAGTCTCAGATTAATGGGATTCAAGGCTTCTACCACTGTCATTAAAAACATCTATATGACTCAGGACATCAAGTTGATAGACTAAAGTCTTTCAGCATCACCAATCGACAGTAAAATGCTTTTCTCAAATTTATCAAAGCCATAACCATTTAACGACTGAAGCCGGACTAATGCATTCAAAAGAACACAGTTGAGAATCCACCCTTACCATGGTGATTTTTTCGTCATTTAACTACATCATGTTTTGCACTTTTCTTATCTCCCTTGTTTTAATTACATCACTTATTTCGAAGTCATAATCTTGTCATTTATTTTTTAACTGACTGATCTCCACTCATGTTATGCGCACTGCTGAGGAGTCCCATACTAGAACTAAATGGCCGTACAGTGCTTCCAGGTTTCCTATGATAGTCTAGCTTCAACTGACTTATGATCTCAACCACTGAGATAACATTTTATTTTATTATCCTTCATCGCCTTTCAAATGCATCATATGTTCACAGTTACTGAATTCGAACTGTAGGTTATAATTTAACTATTTTGTCCACTATTTAGTATTAATTTCATTGGCTAAATTTTCTAACTATTACTTGTCACGGATTGAAGATGTTATTGATTTTGATAAGTATCCATAATTTAGTGTGAATTCATTTGATTCAATAAATTTTGTTGATCCATTTTTGTTCAGACGAAAAGAGAATTATCGAAATGGAGATTTATGGACTTATAGCAATTTTAATAGTTGAATTCATGAGTCTATATTAACCTAGAACACCAGTGGAAACTTGAAAGCATTGAACGGTCGTTTCGTACTAGCATTGGACTCCCCCTCAAACCCTCATTCTGATAATAATCAAGTGCTCACTAGTGACCAGATTCAGTATGGATTTTCTTAAGTTCTAGTAAATAACCGTAACCAGTGGAGTCTAGTCAATGTTGGATGGATACAGTTATCCACCTCATATGATGGATGAAGTGTTACGCGAAATCACGGATCGACCGAAGTTAGACATTAACATCGTTGGATACCGATCCAGCGGTTTGGGGATTAAGCGCTTGAGTGCGAGATCGAAGGTTCTGGTTTCCGGTTCCACATGAGGTATAGTGAATGTACACTACTAAGGCGTTCCATACTAGGACGAAACGGCTATCCAGTGCTTTCAGATTTTTAATGGTGGTCTAGCTTAAATCGACTCATGAGTTTAACTAATAAAAAAATAAGGATTACAATATTCAGTTAGACGGCTTGGATGGATATTTAACATCTACGCAGTATAGAAATGTGTACAAACTTTTATGGATTCATAAACAAAATCTACCTGTTTTCCAATAAAAAAACAATTGATATTAGGTTTTGTAATTGATTGTTCCTTGAAATCAAAACATAAAGAAATTCCTCATGTATTATCATTTTTTTATAAATCTGAATGTTAATGGTACAAATGATGGAAAAATAAAGTTTCAAACTATTTATTAATGAAAACAAATTCAGGAAATACTTATAATTACAGTTTAAAGTAAAAGAAATATTTATTGTTATATGGAATATTTCTTTTAAAGGCGTGTTTGCACAGTATTACTTGAGTTAAATACATTCATTTCTTCTACATCAATTTCATCACCTTGAAAATCATCTTTATTAACATAAGTAGATGGATTGTATGGATCACAACCATGAGATCTTTTTAGAGCTCCACTCAATAAGTTTGTTCGATATAGAATCCAATTTAATATCAATAGACCAATCAGTAAAATTAACCACTTGAAAGGGTAAAATTAAAAAAAAAGGTACTTGACAAGTGAAAAAATTATTTCAATAGTTGAGATCTTGAGTCAGTTGAAGCTAGATCAACATGAGAAAACTGGAAGCACTGGACGCTCGTTTCATCCTATTATGGGGATTCTCAGCAGTGTGCATCCACAATCCCGCCTCACGAGATTCGAACCCAGGACCTATTGGTCTCGCGAGCGAGCGCTTATCCACTAAACCACTGAGCTGGCATCCAATGGTGTTGATTTTTAACTTCAACTAATCCACGAAATTGAGTGATACATCCATAATAGGACGAAATGACCGACCAGTGCTTCCAGGTTTTACATGATGGTCTAGCTTCAATTGATTTATGATTTCAACTATCGAAATTATTAAAATATCCATAAAAAATCCCTTCTGAAAAATTTATTGACAATTTATTTTTCTTTCATTTTGAAGGAAAGCATGTTTTATAGAGATTTTATGTTATTTGTAAATATATTTCGAGTTAAAAGTAGAAAGCACTGAATAACCAATAGGTAGTTATTAAATACATTAAAACTGCCGTAGATTTGAGGGATTTAAAATATGATGTGAAAAGATGATTTGCTATCATAAAGAATGAAATAACATAACCATAAACGTTCTTTAGTTGTATTATTTAGAATTATTTACTTCATAAAAAGCTGAAAATATATGTTAGCTGACTTTTGAATGAGCTAAACGTGGTTGAATTTGTAACAGTATACAAGAATTGAAATCACTCATAAAATATTTTCGTCAGTTTAACCATCCAATAGAAATAATTTAGTAATATGAAACTAAAACCGAACAACTGATGTACATTGTCTACCAAGATCATGTCGTGAGACTATAATTTATGGACGACATTTGAGCGACTCTAAAGTGACCTTGAGAGTGTTCAATTAATAACTAGGATCAAATGAGGGTTATAAATAAGTGTGAGAAATTAGAATTATGATTTACAGCTGATGGTAAGAGTTAGGAATTAGATATAGGGTTTTCATCACGAACTGATATCGGCTATAATGCCAAACCTCTATTTAGCCATATGGATGAATTAATTTCGCGCCAAAATCCGAGACCTGTTATTTTATATCTGATTGGTTCGTTCATAAGTTATAGTCTCGCCGATAATGTAAACCTTACACAATTCAACACAAAATGTGGTAATATATGAACGTTCACTATAAAGTATTACTTAATCAAGTATTAATAAATCCATCATACTTACTTACTCCTGTTACTCCTAGTAGAGGAGCATAGGCCGCCAACCAGCACTCACCATCCAACTCTGTCCTAACCAGTTCTTTACAGCTCTTTCCAGTTGTCATTCATCCTTTTCATATCCGCTTCTATTTATTGACGTAATATGTTCTTTCGTCTTCTTTTTCACTTCCCTTCAGAATTCCTAGTTGGGGCTTGCCTCGTATTGCAGTTTGGTGATTTCCGTAATGTATGTCCTATCCACTTCCAACGTTTTTTCCTAATTTCATCTTCAGCTGGAAGCTGGTTTGTCCTCTCAAACAGAATGCTGTTGCTGATGGCATCCGGCCAATGGATGTTGAGTATCTTGCGTAGACAGCTATATATAAATACTTGCACCTTCTTGATGATGGTAGTAGTGGTTCTCCAAGTTTCAGCTCCGTACAGTGGAACTATCTTGACGTTCGTATTGAAGATTCTCATTTTGATATTGGTTGATGGTTGTTTTGAGTTCCATATGTTTTTCGAATATAGGAATGCTGTCCTTGTTTTGCCAATCCTCGCCTTTACGTCTGCATCCTATCCTTCTTGTTCATCGTTGATGCTGTCCAAGTACGCGAAGGATTCCAGGTTTTGCAGAGCTTTTCTATCAAGCGTGATTGGGTTGGCATTCTTCACGATACTACTATTAATAAATCAATGATTTTAATTGAGTTTTTGATTAGCGCATAGTTTTATCGGATACAAACAGTGGGCCATTTATTTTAGAGAGTTTAATTTGTCTGGAATGGTTTATTTTGTTGTAAATTCTTTACTGATTACTTCTTTAACATATATTTTTCATACAGTTATATTATTCAAATCCATTATAAAATGATTATAAGAAAGAAATTGTAGCCTACTTCTAATAACGTTGTCGATAAAGTATCCCAAGTTAAAATATACCAAGTTGGATCTGTTGTGACAGATTCATATATCCACCATATAATTAATATGATTGATTGTAAAGGCACCAAAACACTGAAAAATGATCAGTTTGGGAAACAAATTTAAACTAAATTTTTTTTAAAAATGTAACAATAAAAACAGAATAATGTGAAACTATTTTCTTAAAATCGGATAATGATGTGATTATAAATTGCTATAAAGACAATGATTTCATAAGTAATTTGAAAGAACATTCAAGTATGGTATATGCTACTCATGTTTGCAGATATAAGTAGTACGTAATACCAACGGGAGTGTCTGAGACCAGAAGCCATAAAGATTGAAATCAAAAGAAAAGAGAAGGAAACTGAAAGCAATCAAGATAACAACAGGAATGAAGAATGAATGAAACTTATAAAAAACACTTCAAATAAGATATACAAATGATATATTTGATGTATGATTTTCAAAATTTACTAAACAATGATGAATTTCGATTTGATTAACAAAAGAAAATATTTATATTCTTTAATAAGTACTATTTCATCGTCCCCTTGCTTTTTATCAATACACTTTAATTTGATAATATCCATATGAGTAAAAATATTTGTTGTTATTGAATACAATATTTAATGTAAGTTGAGGAATTATCACCGTTTCCTTAGAACCTATGTAGAAGTCATAGTTTTTATTACTGAAAGAATAATTTTCAACGACATTGTGATTACCATGTAAGATCTTGTTGAAAGATACTTCTCAAAAACTTGTAGAATGTACTTTCACATATGGTATATATTTTAAATATCATAGGTTGTAAGCAGCTGATGAGAACCAAACGAAATAAAATGAATTCCTGCTATTCTGCTTAAATCATTGATCTTGTTCTTTTCAAAATAATAAAGGGAACTTTGTGTATGAAATAAACAATTTATAACATTTTGTTTTCTTTAAGGGACCTATATTTATTGTCATATCCTTTTATCATCCCATATGTTTTAATTTCTTAATGTCATTTGAAATACAGATTTTCGTGCAATTGAATTAAACCTACTTGTCATATAACTAAATATTTTTTTATAATTTCAACATGAAGTGACTGTATTTTCAGACTGGTATTTCTTTTAGCACTAATCAATTAGAATGCTTAGACTGATTAAACAAATTAAGATAGAACTCACGCAATTACTGGAATCCAAATAACACTCAAGTTACAATCATTTATTCCATAGTCATTTATTAGAACACGTCTGTATCGATTCGGTCCGTAAACAATAACAACTAGACAGAATAAAAATCCAGATACTATAAGACCATAGCCCCATGTATTATCCTAAAAACAATTAACAAAATAATGAAATAAACAATCATATATCATAATTATGTTGAAATGTTTTTTTAAAAAACTTGAATCAATAAACTCACTTACTTGATTTGTAAGAAACTCCAGTTTAATTGCAGATGGAAGACCAATAATCATTGAAGCTAATAAAGCAATTCCAACTGCTAGTCGATGTGGTACTGTTAATGAAAGTAATATTATCAAACATGAAATTTAAAATTTAACTAAATGTATAATTTGTGTATATGAAGATTACTAAACCTTTGGATAATCTGATAGTTTAGTATTAATTAGTTATTAAATTAATTTAGTCATGATAACAACTATCCAATCCAATCTATACATTTCAGATTTACTAATTAAACTTCAAAACGTCACATCATCAAGATATTGAAAGTTTTCTAAATAAATTAAATATTTGCTGACTGCCGTCTAATCATTAAAATTTTCTGCAGTAGGATTATGTATAAGTAATGTAATATGTATTAACAATCATTAACTGTTTTTTTTGTTGGGAATGGTTTGTGAACTGATTATAACTACTCCAATTACCTCATGAGTGTACTAGTTAACATAATTACGTCATTTAAGATAAATTATGAATATACAAAATATAGTTGAAGAACTATAGTCTAGAATTCAATGGGAAATTACCTAGAATTTATAACTCAGAAGACAACATTTAAGCTTTATTCGAAGCTTACGGGTGCATTAAAATGTTGGATTTTTTATTCAAATCTTTTTGAACAAAAACGTCTTTTCTACCCGACCATTTGATTGTATTGGCTTAAAATCTAAGCTTGAGAGTTCATTATACTTTTTATGAATGGAATTTAAGTAAGATATCGGCTTAGCGATAAGTAGTATTTAATGATGAAGATTATAGTCATATTGTCATTGAAGAAATCGTTTGAAAACAATTCATCTCAAAATCACTCATTTACATAGTTTGATTCTACACGCAAATACATGTTTGTTATTGAACATATAGAAGCTTCATAGTAATTGTCAAAATTTGAATGAAATTTACCATAAATGTGTGTTATTAATTAAATGACCAATTCATATTTCTAATATATATCAGTTGTAAGTAATATAGAAATTTAATTAATTTTAGACTAGAATTTCTTTATGATTAGTTAAAATATCGTGAATTTGTTGATTAAAACACATGAGTTTTTTAATAGTTCAGTAAATCAAATTAAAACTCTATGTATATTGTATATAGATAAAGAAACGCTATAAATGGACTTAAATAGTTTTATCACAGGGGGTTTAGTGGATATTATAGTAATTTAATAGTTGAATTCATGAGTCAATTGAAGCTAGACCACTTTAGAAAACCTGAAAGCACTGGATGGCCGTTACGTCCAAATATGGGACTCCTCATCAGTGTGCATCACGATCCTGCCCTGCGAGATCCGAACCCAGAACCTATCGGCCTCGCGCCTGAACACTTAACGTCTAAACCATAGAGTCTGCATCCAACGTTGTTAATATTTAATTTCATCCAGTCCACGAAATTGAGTCATCGTCCACCATTGTCTTCAGTGGTCTAAGGGGCTGATCGTTCGCTCGAGAGACGGAGGTGCTGGGTTCAAATATGACGAGCAGGATCGTAGATACGCACTGCTGAGGAGTCTCATACTAGGCCGAAAAGGCTGTCCAGCGCTTCCTGCTTTTGTATGGCAGTCTAGCTTTAATTGCTTCATGAATGCAAGTTTAAATAATTTTGTCAAAATATTCATTTCAAAAAAAAGAAGATAGTTCGTGACAATTATGAGAATATATTTAAAATAGATAAAAAAAGGAAGTTGGAAGATCATTTTAAATTACAGAGACTATCTTTAACTTAGATATTGCATAAGTTATTTATTTATTTTCCTATTAACACTACTTAATTACTTACTTACACCTATTACCTTTTGTGAAGGAGCATCGGTCACTCACCAACACTCTATTAACACTACATATTCTTAAAGAAATATATTATAACCAGAAGAAATGTCAATTTGTCAGGTGATTTTATAAAAACATTCTTTTATATAAAAATAGTTATATACTTAAATATTTACAATGTTTTGTTGAAATTCTTATGTAAACATAAAACATTCAATGTTGTTTTATTATAGAAATGTTATCATTTAACTAATTGCTTTAAACCAATATGTTATACAATAAGATCAAAACTAATCATAAAGTTATTACGTTTAGTATGTTTCTATTTATTTATTCTGTTTTATAAATTAATTCATATTTTGTCTTAAATGAATAACTTACCGTTAAAATCTTTCATAGCAAGAACATGTACTTGAGTTAATGATAATAATGAACTAATTCCAGCAAATACAAGACATAAAAAGAATAAGGCACATAAAACTCGACCAAATATACCAACTTTTGAAAATAGTACAGGTATCCTGAAATGAGAAAAAAATATATTAGAGATTCATTTAATTGTTTACATTTAATAAGGATATGTGCTATGATATTGTTTTAAAGAATGATGGTCTAAGGTTAATATATATATATATGATAATGTCAATGTTATTCATTTTCAATAAATTGATCTAAGTTGTTCTATATTTTCTGTTCTTAGTACTGAAGTATTTTTTATCACTAATGTAATGAAAAAGTAAATTATTCGAAAGTTTATTTAGTTAGAAAATAATGTCACTTTATGTAATTCATTACCATTTGGTTCATTTCATTTCAGTTATTACATATTTTCTGTACTTAAACACGATGTGGGAGTTACATTTTTCACTTACATTAAAATGATAATTAAGAGATAATGTAAATCGTAAATGTAAAGAAAATCTAATATAAGTATATCTTTATAAAAGTATTCCACGCATTAAATTCCCTTCGTGTTGTTTTAACAGAATCTTCTTATTGTTATTGAGGACTGCAATTAATCAGCAGAAGGCTATTAAGACTCAGTGGTTGGGTGGATAACGTGATGATGTTTGAAGCGAACGGTATTGGGTTCGAGTCCCGGAGTGTACATCAACTCTGAGATGCAGGTACATCCAGCTGACGAGTCATAAACAGGACGAAACGCGAGTCCTGGACTTCACTGCTAGCCACTATCAATCTTTATTTCACGTATTATTTTGTAACTAGAGGACTTTTATATAATTTGAGTTCGAAATTTTAAACATCATGTATAAATAATTTACTTTGGCTAACTGTTGAGATTTAGAACACGTCAGAAGTAGTCAGTAAGTAAAATGTGGATTTATTAACAAACCCACACACTACTGAGAAGTCTTATACTAAGATAAAACGGCTGTCCAGTGTTTCCAGGTTTTCCATGGTGATCTAATCTCAATTGACTCACGAATTCAACTATAAAATCTGCATTTCTTACCAATTTTTTTACGTATTGTTTATATACTCATTTTCACTTCTCTCTTTTTACAATACCGTCACTTCAACTTGTGATTTATATTTTTCTGGTACCTTGATGTACTGACACTTTTATATGTTATGAAAACGTATATAATTTTAAACTTATTAACATGCAAACTGCAGTTGTCTTAGACATATTTTAAATGACATCTTAATCTAGTTTAACACACTAAATAATATAAATAAATAAATCTCACCAGGTGAAAGTAAGTCCTGTGCTACCAGGCCCAGCAGTCTTTATAATCCTTACAATAGCTGAACGGGTAGCTGTCGGATTTGTTTGTATGATTGTTGAAAATACAGTCGAAAAGATTGTAATTGATGCGAAGAAGCTAATATTAGGAAAAAGTAAATTTAAAAAAAAGCTATTTTGATGAATTGGGGACTGTGGATATAATAAAAGAATGTCGTAAACATCTGGGGGTTACATAAGATTTAGCTTAGAAACTACCTTTTAATGACGTACATCAAAATAGAGTTTATATTATTTAATTATCTCAAAGTAGTATTATAATAAAAAGAAGCTACACTTTGATTACTTTCAGGACTAGCAAATTATAAACAGTTTTTGATAATCACTACTATAATACATCAGTCATTATTTGTTTCGTTTCTTACTAAATGTTCTATCATTACAAATCTTGACAAATAAAAAATTCAAGCAAACCAACTTTTAGTAATCCGTTTACCTAACGACATTGTTGACAATAGGAATAAGGAAACTATACGAAACTATCCTTGAGTCCCGTGACATAAAAGTAGAGTAAGTTGCCAGAACAGCCATACCAGCGTTAGTATCGAATGCATTTTGACCGGCCGCTGCGATCCACATACTGGGGTCTAAAAAGCTTTCTGAAATGAGAAAAATATATCATACTTAGTTTTATAATATGATATTACCTTCGTACGTCTGACAGTTATATGTGTTCTCGGCATTTTAGTGAAACATACCATTCTCGTCCCCAGTGTCATCAGTGAACAATGTGGATTAAAGTAAATGATGTAAGTCACCTGGTTCACCCCAAAACCTTAACAAATCACTTGCAAACTCAAGGTTATTTATTTGTATTCTACTGAAAGATTATTTTCTACTTGATTTCACCTGGTCAATGAATAGAATAAAGATTTGTTTGTTCATTCACATGTGCATTTCATTTTCAGTCATCGAATAAATAAAGTTGATGTTCAAAATATGTTTCAAAGCGAATGCTAGTGACAAGCAGCTAGAAGTACATAATATTTTATCAGTGTGTACACTTCGAAATATTATTAACATCTGTTGCATTATGCGACTAAAAATATTGGCTAGATGTCATTGGATTTTATAGTCTGAAACTAAGCGTTCGCACGAGTAACCGAAGGTCCAGGGTTTGAATCTCGCTAGCGGGATCGTGGGTACGCACTGCTGAGAAGTCACATACTGGGACAAAACGACCAATCAGTGCTTCCGGATTTTTCATGGTGGTCTAGCTTTAATTGACTCATGAATTCGACTTCTAATCTCCACAAAACCCCTTTCCGATAACATATGTTTATAACTATTTGGCTGTGTGATGAGATTAACACACTTAGGAGTTTTACTGATTCACTCTTAAACTTCACGACCACCAAAAATATAATGACTGTGATTGATAATAGTTATAAAAATAATGCTTATTACAATAGTTTGGATGAATTACTGACATAAACGGATAATATTCCTAAACCTTATCGTTATTTTCTTACATTTTAGGATATTGTAAAAAAAAGTTTAAATCCCATATCAAGTAAAATTACTCACTCCATGATGGTGTGAAAAGAAACACAATGCCAACTTCAGCATATTGTCTTGTTAATGACCAACCAAATGTAAAAACCACAATCGACAAAAGCAATGGAACTAGAACCATATTGACTCTTTCAATCCATTTGATTCCACCTAATAAACAAATACCACTGAGTGTAACCGCTAGAATTTGAGTGAATACTGGCCAGTATGAATGCTAAATCGTACGAAATAATACAATTCATATTAAACAAATAAATATTTATTTGAACAAATTGAAATATTACTAGACATATTTAATTAGAGTGGTTAGTTTTGATAATGTTTAAGTCTTTTAGCTAGATAGTTGAGGTTTTGTAGACAACAAGATCAATCTAGTTTTCTGCTTTTTGTAAAGATTAATGAATGGCATAAGAAATATCTGTAAAACTATTGTAGACTTTGTAAGTAAACATTAGTAATTCAATGAGTTCTCTTTAATTTAGTAGTTAATAACATATTTAATATTTAGTAATCATAATGTTGACACAGTTCGTAAGAGTTAACTTCTAAAACTTGAATATAATCAACTGTAAACGTTTATTTAAAAATTTGATTTCATAGCAATAGTGGAGTATATATTCCTCTTCTTTGCTTCCCATTTTTAAACACTGTACACGTTTGTTCTATAGAATATATTGCTTTTGTGATTGGTATATAAAGGAAATAAAATCCTTGACATCTGTGTATGATCAGACCAAATGCTTCTATAAATGATGTAATATAATTTATCAAAATCCATTTGGAAAGTAAGTTTATCAGATATTTTTAAGGTGTAATGTATCTGTAAAATGAGCATCTTTAAACGATTTTAAACTTTTACATTCTTATTGAATAGATTTACATTAGGTATACGTCCAATGATGGTATTTTATTGACTAGATTTCATGGTACATTGTAGTAGTATTTTAGCAGTTAGAAAATTTAAGTTTCATCTATTTGGTAATAACTTCAAAACTCCATATTACTATCTCATCTAGGATAGCCATGTGGTCTAACCTGTCTACATATATTAGTGTTATATCAATCCGACTACAAAAAATTGTACTTGGTAAATGAATTAAACTGATTCATTGTAAATTTTTTATTCCATATAAAGTGTAATTTATAACTCATTAAAATCGTCAAAGTTTCATTCATGTTTTCTTGTCTGTTGAGTAGTTACATAATTGTGTTATTAATGTTATTAAAATATGTACCTGTGTGTAGTTGGTGAAAATTTCTAAACCAGCCTGTTCAGTAGTTGGTAGTGACGGAAGAGTACACGATAAGTAAAGGTAGTATAAACACCATCCAAGTATAACTGGATAATAACCACTAAGTAGGAAAAAATATATAATAAAATGTCATCGTATTGATGAATGAGATATGGCTCAGTAGTGTTCAGTTAATTCGAATTCAACTGAACTGTAAACAATGAGAACAGTATATATTGAAATATTATAAGTAATAATGTGTCAAATCATATATCGCATATATGTAAAGATGTTGAAGTCAGTATTTCAAAGAGTAAAATGATTCCTCATGATATTTGATTTATGGATTGTAAGGAATCATAACAGCTGTAATCTCAAGGTTTTCCCACACATAACATGGAACTACACTATGATAATGTTCATTCGGACAGGCAAACAAATTAACTGTTAATATTTCGGTTTTTAAAAAAATAATGACAACAAATGATCTTAAGACGGTTGTCATGTTTCATACTAAGAGTTCTCAATGGTTAGTAACCTTGACTCATCACATAGTCTAAATAAAGCCCCCAAATGCCCTGGTGTAGCCGAGATTGGGGGGAGTCCGCTCTCCCTCTCGAAATGCTCTCACATGGCCACGCGTATATAGACTCTACCAGGAAAGTCCTACTCACTGTTTTCTCGTGTAGGGTTGTTGTTTACGACCTTTAAATCGCAAGATGTCTAACATCATTTAAATCGGCTGCTTGTTGATATTTGCCTGCAAATTCTGATTTTCATTTGAAAGAAACAAATGAGTTTTAAAGATGTGAATCAATATGATTCAGCCTCCCAATGATAGACTATCACTTGACGTTTTAAGGCTACGATAACCACTTAGTTTATATGACGTCATTGATAAACTTCATTACCGCGTCCCAATACATTAGAAGCTCTAGTTGAGGCCAGACATCTTATTAATGTTATCAGAATGGGTTTTGTGGAGATTTTAGAAATTTCACAGATAGTGACTGACTTCAGGAAAAACTCCCGAAGTTCTAGTGAGAAGCCGTTACCAGTGGAGTTCAACCATGTCTGTTGAGAGATAGGAACTCACTGAAGACAATGGTGTACGGTGGCGCAACTTCGTGGATTGGTTGAAGTTAGATATTAACACCGTCTGATGCCGGTTCAGTGGTCTAATGGTTAAGTGCTCGCGCGCGAAGCCAGTAGGTCCTGGGTTCGAGCCCCGCGTGGTGCGGGATCGTGGGTGCGCACTGCTGAGGAGTCCCATACTAGGACGAAACGGCCGTCCAGTGCTTCCAGGTTTTCAATGGTGGTCTAGCTTCAAACGACTCATGATTTCAATCTGTGAAATCTTATTAATGATAATCAACTCTCCAACATCACAAATTTACATAGTTATAAACTAAATTCTACTAAAACCTTCGTAATAGCCTCTATGTAAATAATTAGAGTAACCATAAACAATTTCTATTTCCTTGATAATGAACAGGAAATCAAAATAATTATCATAATGAATAACCATAAATCTTTCAAAACGTTCATGATAGAAAAAAAACTTTGTTAAAAACAATAATCTAACCTTACAAAGAAAACTACTGCAACCATCCATCCTCCTAACCAGAAAAATTTTTGCCCAAAAAATTTGCAGAATGCTAATGTAACAGAGTTTCTAGTAAATCTACCAATTGAATATTCGACTATTATAATTGGTATGGACCATAAAAATAGGATAATAAGCCATACTATATAAAATGTTAATGCACCTAAAAAATATTGTAATGAAAAAGAAAAGTTCTTCATATACAATCATTCTATTGTACATAAAAATTAAGGACTTATTAACTTCCTTATTAATATCATATAAAGAATTAGATGCAATTCAACTTACAAGTAATATTTATTGCTTTAGTAACTAAAGTAATTAAGAATCAACCTTTTTACATTGCAGTTCTTAATAGATCACATAAAAATGTATTGCAAATGTTTTAATTACTTACAGCAATCAAGAATAGTTGTTTCAACTCCATTTATAATGATTTGGTTTGAGTTGTATATGTCTGTCTAACTCTTAAATAATCAGAAAGGGGTTTGGTGGATATTATAGTAATTTAATAGTTGAATTCATGAGTCAATTAAAGTTAGGCCACCATAGAAAACCTGGAAGCACTGGATGGCCGTTTCGTCCCAGGATGGGACTCCTCAGCATTGCACATCCCGATTCGAACCTGTGACCTATAGGTCTTGAAAGCGAACGATTAACATTTAGACCACTAAACCGGCCGGCATTCAACGGTGTTAATGTCTAACTTCAACCAATCCACGAAATCGGGCCACCGTCCAGTGAGTTGCTATTTCAGGTTTTTCATGGTGATCTAGATTCAAATGACTTATGAATTCAACTCTTAAATAATCAATGGAAAAATGATATAGTTTAATGGAGTATGCTTATTTTAATCTGAGAAATCCTTTGTACGGAAAAAAGTTTTTCAAAGTAATTGACTAAAAATAAATTAACCATCAATCTTGTATATCTCAGAAAAATCGCTTGAATATTTACTCATGAAATGAATGATTAATTGAAATAAACTACTCTTTTGTAAAATCTGTTAATAATTACCAGGAGTTATAATTATTTTTAATCATTTTATTAAAGAAATATTCATACATTTATCAACTAAGAAGATGATATTTATTTTGTAAACATTTTATTTATTCTAAATTGTACTTCTTGACATCATTACATCCAAGAAGTGAATATCGATTTGATATCTGAAAGTTTTCGATTGATGAATATCCGTGATTATGACAACTCAATCTACTTTATAAAGTAATAAATTGATTGATATGAATCAGTTGACCATTTTCTCCACTTAATGTATTCTCAATTCTCGAATGAATATACTTACGATAGTGGAAATATTGGTCAAGTTATTAAAAGAATGGATATTATTCAGAAAAAAAAGGTTTTATACAAAATATTAAGTTAAAACCATATAAATTTCTTTTTGTTTTCTAGGCAATTAACCATTAAGAATGTAAGCAAACATTTTAAACAAACTACTTGCTATCCATTTCTTATCATTGTAACGCTTATGAATGTAGAAGTTAAAATATCGATGAATGTATAAGAAAATTTTGCAAACAATCAGTGTATTGTTGATGTTTTACTACTGTGATTCCTGTTATGATTGATCTTTAGATTTCACATTATCCTACTGTGAATTCGAAAAGTTTATCTTGAAACTAACTACCAGTAAAAAGATTATTATATCCATTTTAAAATATATAGTAATCTAATCCTTACATATAATCACATCTATGTGACAAAGTTGATCTGTACCCTGTTGATCTTAATGCTTCTTATATTGACTTATGGATTGTATAAAATTGATTAGTTAAAATAAACTATTTTTCTTATTTATATTGATATTTGCATGTAATTAGTACATTGAAACAAGAATCTGAAAAGATTAAAAATGTTACTAATCAAGTTAACACATCAATAAAAAAGCACGTGGTTTAAGAATTACACAAAAGTTACATTCACTTGAAGAATTTAGACGATTACGAGATGCTCGTCGAGCTTAGGTCGATTTGTAAATTTGATTTTACTGAAAACATTCTAATAAATTCATACAGTCATTTGCTGCCTTTCACAATCTTAAAGCATATATATATATATATTTACGTTATATAATGATTCATTACATGATTCAATTCATGACAGAATAAAACAAACAAAAATGTTCAGGTTACAAAAAACCTTGCTATCTAATGGATTAGGGTAGATTTCAAGAATTTTTAAGCTTTTATTGAATAATAACGAATGCACAACAACTTTACGGTCCGATTCACTTCAGCTTAACCAAAGATTTATAGAGAAAATTATTTACAGAATATATTTGTCATCAAAGTACCAAAGGCAGGCTATATACCTTATTTTTTAATATTTTACTTTGGTAAGGTCAATAAGAAATCTTCGCCTATGAACTCCAACTGTATAATATTTACTTCATTGCACTACAAAATCTTGAACCAGTTGAATTAAACGTATAGTACAAATGCTACAAAGGATTATATGTTCTTAATAATACTAAATAGTTATATAACTTGAGTAATCCGATATTGGTGTCATTTATTTAAATCAATATAACATAGAGTATAAAACTTTCATAAAGTATACATACCGGTAGAATAACTATGTGATGCCAAAATACGAGGGAATCTCCAAATATTTCCTGTTCCTACTGCACTACCAAGACAGGAAATAATTCCACCTAATGCAGACTGAAACATAGACTTCTCTGCAGTAACTCGTAGTTTGACATGAGCCACATTTGTGTCAGAGGACACTTTTTGTTCAAACTATAATGATTAATAAATTATGTAAGATAGATAAACTTTATTGTTTTACATATGATCAAATGTTTAAATCAATATCTTTGTGATGACAGTCTAATTAAAAATATTGTAAATGAAACATACATATTAACTAGATTTTTGCTGTTTTCTGAGTCAAAACTGTAGAATGCATAGAATAGTTAGTTATACAACATTTCATGAATAAATGGTACATATTAAATGAAAATTCCACGTTCGTTAAGCATATGAAATTCTGTTTGACTATAAAAGAAATTTTAGATAATTTCTTCAAAAATTGTGTCATAGACACTGCAAATACACAGATTAGAATAATTTTTAGAGAAGAAACAATCACATCTAGTTACGATCAAGCAATCAATTCAGCTTCTTTATAAGCAAATATGGACAATCGCTTGCAGTGGAATCTAAGACGCGTTTTTCGTCCTATATGGGAATCGTCAGCTGGAGGCATCTGACTCTCAAAGTTGATGTTCACTCTAGGACTCACATTACCTATTTTACTACTGAGTCCTGATAGCCACTTGTTTGTGCAACGGGGTGAAGTTTAAATTCACTTGATATTGTTTACTTGGATCTTCCCATGGACGTTTAGGACTGTAATTGATCAATCTCTGGTGCTGGGTTTGAGTTCAAGAGTGAACACCAACTCTGAGATTTAGCTGACAAGTCCCAAATAAGATGAAACGCGCGTCCTGGATTTCGCTGCTAGCCACTATCTATCATTGCTTATAATGCTTGTGAATCAAGCCAACATCGAGGCAATACTCATAATATACACGTATGCCAATAAGAAACTGATCGATTGCAATCTTAAACATCAATGGAATATTCAAGTACACAACACCAAGTAAATTCCAGGTTTTTTGTTAAATGTGTTTTATTCGTTTTGAAGAAATTTTGTATTCACCTTTTCGCATTTTGTTCGCACACAATCATTAATTTGTTCAGATATTTGAACAACATTTTTGTTGTTGATCAAATTAAATTATTTTACACATTTAAGAATATTAGCAAATGTAAATCTTCAGTTAAATTCATGAGTCGATTGAAGCTAGACCACCATGGAATACCTGGAAGCACCAAACATCCGTTTGGTCCTAGTATGGGACTCCTCAGCATTGCGCAACCACTCATGAATTTAATTGTAAAATTACTAAAATCTTCATCAAACTCCCTCTGATAAAATGTAAATTTATTTAAAATATCATAAAATATTTACAGAAAATAATTTACAATAGTTTATCTTTATATCTTACCTCATGACTATTTTCACTAATGCTTTCATTGTCTACATTTTGATTAAGTACATTTAACCGGTCTGTGATTGTTAACGGTTTTTCCATTGAGAAATGAATGGAATTTACAATTAAAATGTAGTTGACTTTTATAAAATATGTTAACCAATGATTTATTAACTAAATATTTTATTGGTTTATTAAAAATTTTGTGAATTTTTTCTCAAAATAAATACTTGTGAAACTACCGATTGTTTAAGTTACACATAAGAATTACATTTACTGAACTTAATCATAGTAATAAGTAGTTTACGCCTGTTACTCGTAGTAGAAGAACATAGGCCGCCAACCAGCACTCACCATCCAACCCTGTCCTAACCAGCTCTTTACAGCTCTTTCCAGTTGTCATTCATCCTTTTCATATCCGCTTCTATTTATTGACGTAATGTGTTCTTTCGTCTTCTTTTTCACTTCCCTTCAGAATTCCTAGTTGGGGCTTGCCTTGTGATGCAGTTTGGTGATTTCCGTAATGTATGTCCTATCCACTTCCAACGTTTTTTCCTAATTTCATCTTCAGCTGGAAGCTGGCTTGTGTATGTTGAAGCTTACTGATGCAGAGGCTGGTGCTACACTAGTTGTCTTCATCTGCATTTGTTCGTGTGCATGGGATAGGAGGGCTATGTCGTCTGTAAAGTCCAAATCGTCAAATTGATTTTGACCTATCCATTGTATTCTGTGCTTTTCCTCAGATATCGAGGTCTTCATAATGCAGTCGACCACCAGAAGAAAGAGGAAGGGAGAGAGCAGATAGCTATCTAACAACCACAGCAACAATTTTTATAGGTACATGGTACTTAATTATAATGTAAATAATTTTGTTGCATCACCTTTATGCCTTAATCTCAGTCAGTCACTCGGTTACGCTGAATGTGGAAGTTTTCATAAATGTGTATTAATCTTAATTTGCACAACATTTATCTACATAATCAAAGGATATTAGTAAGATGAAAATTAGAGGAGTGGAGATAAAAAACAACTGGTAACGGAAAATGTAACAGAATAGAAATAGTTTTAAAGTGGCATAGTTGATTGCAGAATGAAACAATCTGTAATTAAAAATGAAGGTTAGAGATTAAGCCGAATTAAAAGTATTTAATTTGAGAAATTTTATTCAAATTTTATCGAGTTAAGCTTTTGTTAAATGGAGAATATCCTTTTTATTTACCACGGTCATAAAAGAAAATTAGAAGCAGGAAATTAACATAATGAACTGATATTATGTTGAATTAATCATTTGTAAAGTATTCTTATGTTAGTATCTTGAACTGTTATTCGCTGTTCTATCTAATTCACATCCAGTATACAAGTAGAATCTTTCCTTTCAGTTGTGATTTATTTTAATGGTAAAAATGGCGGAAAACGTTTAACAGCTAATTTTATTTTTAAAATTTGAAATCAAGAAAGTTACTTCTATCATGTCTCGTAACTCTGATGTATATATCTTGAAACTGCTCGTAACTCTCAGCTAATAATGAATTTACTTTAGAAGTTGGTTATACCTTGAAAACCGTGGAAATCACCGCCTAAATAATTAGCATTTGGTATTAGTCTATGGAAACAACTAAATTTTGTCTGAGGAATCTCAAAACATGTCCGCTCTAATAATTATGTTCTCTTTGTTGACTACTTTTAAGAAGGATTTGAGGAGATCTAATGTGTAGCCGTGACGAGTAACATGTGGATCATATCAGAACTGCAAAGTTTGGGATCCGTGGAACTTATTTATAGTTCTTTTGGAGTATGTACTGTGAGACCTAAAGGCTCAGGGTTCTATGCCCGATAATGTCATTTATTTTATGTTTATTTATTTAAACACATAAATATTGTTATAAGGAGGCACAAAATGGATATGCCCCACATAGATCATTCAATTTGTGTGGGGGATGAGATACTGCCTGGGTGCTCAAACCGAAGCAGGTGGTCTTCTTAGGGGGCCACACCCGGAGCCTTCGACCTGGAGGTCTAGTACACAAGGTAGTGGAGCAACATTAAGAGATATAGTCACACGGTAGACAGTGACCAAAGATTGGTTCATACACCATTTGCTCCTTTAGGATCCATTGGTTTGGAATCAGGGTTTTTCAACTCCTCTAGGTGGACTCTTCATGTTCACCAACCCGGGTAGAGCGTCGGACATTTGCTTTTGGTCCTCTCAATTTAGTAAAAAATAACCCTCCACGAGAAGGCAGTGAGTAGGACTTCTCTGGCAGTGATTTTATGTACGTGGCTATGTGAGAGCATTTGGAAAGAGGGAGAGCTGACTCTCCCCACTCTCGGCCGTAACAGAGCATTTGAGGGCGAAAATCATGTCATGTGTATATAACTTTAGAGTTGTGAACTAGGCTGAGATAGATGTTCATTATTCTGTGATTCTTAAAGGTTCTTCAGTTGATGTTAGTCTGGGTGGTAAACAGACAGTAAACCATAAAGAATAGTTTAGATGAAACAAGTTTATAATGTACTAATTTATGAAGAAGGTTTATGAGAAAAATCAGACGAACTGCTAAATCAACTAGCTGTCATCAAAATGGTTGAAATTTGTGCTAGTCGATAACAATAAAACAGTACCTTTGATTTACATCATTTGCCAAATCTACTTAATAAAAATAGATAAATGAGGTCCATTTTATAGTATTAAATGTTTAAACGATTTACCGAAGTGGGGTTGCTTTAAAAACTTAGTAAATATTACTTAGTGAATAGATAACAACCAAAAAAGACTTTATTGATGAAAGCATTTATCGATTTTTATATGCATTATTGTTTCAATACTGTCATATATTTATGAAATACCATTTAGTGAAGTGTTATGAAATTGTTTAAATAATTTAGGTTTTTTTAAATACATTTAGGGTTTCTACTATGTTTTAAAATAAATTCTAAGAAATGATCACTCCTTTTCTCATTTTACATATATGCAGTTGAAATTTGTCCTATATAAAGTTATCCGTATTGTTTCGAGAAGGCATTCAAAGCTTATTAAAATTTGTCATAAATTGATGAATAAGAATTCTTCTAACATATGATAGTCAATGTCACAATTTCCGTTAAAGTTGTATTAGTAAAATACATTATTATGTTGTTATCAGAGTGATATTTGACAAGACAAATATTAATATTAAATCATCATAAACCTTCATTTATTTAGTGACTTAGCAAACAAAAGGTAATTTTTATAATAATTCAAGTAAAACTCTCGTAAAGTCACAGAATAAAGTCTAGTGTTTATGGCCAACAATTCAGATATTTTTTAATGAAATACTCATAAAGTTTGTGTACAATTTTATTTTAGCTGTATAGAAAAGTGGCTGTGAAATGAAAGTTTACGTCTAGTCACAAGACTCATTATTATTACTATTAGTGGCTTTATTCAATAGTATACTTTTGGTACAATATAAAATTCTCAGAACAAGGTATGTCAACAACTTTCTTTCACAAAAAAAGGCAGAAAACAACAAAAAAAAGAATATGTAAAAAATATCTGAATCTGTACAACTTTTCAACTTAGAGACACTAAGAACATAGGTTATTAACTAGGTTAACTATAACAACCTGTTCTTCACAGAGTATATTTGCTAGGTAAGGTATTATAGAACTTTTATACCTTTGTTTGCGCGTATGGATTTTAATGTATTTACGTCTCGTTCTACCAGACGATATACAAGGAGAAAGATATGAATGAAGGGAATATTTAGTATCTGATAAGATAACACCTGTCAAGAGTTTGCATGACTTTAGATGTCGATGTACAACCATACTCATAATGATCTCAAAAGATTCACCACAAATCTTGCTAACTACCTTCATCACTCTCTTCAACACAGCAAAGTCTTTTCTCAGAAGCCCGGGAAAGCATAATGGGGAACAGCAAAGAATAATAGGTAACATGCACGAATTGACAAATATTTCTGAGTTCTCACGATAGTTATTCAATTGACTTGTTTCAAAATTGGAAATTTGCATTCTGCTAACTAGTATACAAACTTTAATTATATTCTCAAGAATTTATACCTTCATAGGGAAAAGTGTCATTAGTAAAAATTATCCCTGAATTCTAATGTAACAATTATGGCACTTAGATTATGTACTGTCTTTGCAGTTATATATTATATTAATGTGGTCACAAGTGTCTATTTTGGTCAGTATTTACCATATATTAGTAAATGTTTATATAATTCCTACTGTAGTAAACGAGAAAACAAGTGGGGACACTCGAATGTATTTGCTTGCAAAATTACAGAACATCATAGTAAAATGTGAGAACCATACTGTAAATACTTAATTGGCGAAATGTCAATCAGTTGTCTGAAACTTGACTGCTTCTTTTGCAAATATCAGTCAACCATTCTCACTGTTCCTTCATTTCCACAGCAAGTGTTCGCTGTTTACGTTTTATTTTCTTCAATCTGCTTAACTTTCTGCTGCCAGGTTTTCCACTTTCTATCAATGATACATACTACTTATATCTGTCAACATCAGTAGCACACACCATATTACTATTCAACAAAATTTGCTGAGAATAATTTTTTGAAGCAACTTTATAACCTTGGACGGTATTTTACCACAAGGACTTTGCATTACGGATTGGCTTTAGGTAGATGATAATTAAAAGAACTAATAAACAATGGTAATCTGTTTCGTTCTCCAGAATCTATCCCAGGATAGCATTCAATACTGAACATTCATGTAATATTTCTACCCTAATAAACGTTAGTCTAAGACAAAAATCACCTAGAATCAACAAGAACTATCTTCTAGGTGTGTTTCTGAAATTCTTGTGAAAATCTTTGTTTATCCATAACGCTACTGAAACATCCATCACCAAAAGAATAGAATAGTCAAGTAAATGTATCAATGTCTAACTGCAAACCTGTGAAATGCCCATCGGTATTCAATGGTATTGCAAGTGATATTGATCTATGGTAAAAACTACCAGTAAATCAAAGTTGTTTCGATAAACCTCTCAATCAAACTTCATTTCTTTTTGTATAATATATACAACCATGACTACAATATACCACCTAATAATTATTCTATACGATA